CCATCTAGTGGCTCCGGGTCTGCTCCGGGGAGGGACCCCCCATGAGCCCCTCAGAGCTGACCCCCGACCCCAGAGAGGGACAGCTCTTGTGTCACCACCCCCCGAAACCCAGGCACAAACCCTTGCCCACCCCCGCGCATGCCTGGCTGCTGCGAGAGGAAGCTCCCTACGGGCAGCACAGGGCAGGGACTCGTCTCCAGAGCAGGGCTGGAAATCTCTGCCGGGGTGTAGGTGACACTTACCTTAATTACTCCAGAGCTTTTACAAGTGCTTCGTTAGCTTCTACTTTAATCTGAGCTTCTGCTTTAGCTGCTTCATCAGATGCTGCAGCCACCTCTGAAACAGCCTTCTCCAGGTTTGATTTTGCAGTCTGAACACGACAGCAAAGGGAACGTGTCATCGAGAGACCACCGCAGGAAAGGTGACCTGTCCTACAGCCCTTGAGTCACCCCACTCCCTCCCCTCCCGTCACTGCAGTCGTTAGCCCCGTAGACCCGTTTACACAGACACCTTATCAACAGGCCCTGCTGGGGAAAAGCTGTTCCTGAGATTAAGAGGGGTGGGGAGGGGCAAGATCAGCATCTGCCCGCGCGCGCGGCCTGGAGAGGGGTTAAGGACTCCATGGCTTCCTCTCCCTGCAGCCTGTGGGGCGCTCCCTCAGGAGGAGCTCCAAGCCTTTGATCCTGATCAGTGGGACACGGGGAAGCTCAAGGTGAGGGCGCAGCCCTTGGTCTGGGCACGCTTTCTGCAGCCGGAGGAAACTCCTGAGACACCAGCCCCACACGAGAAAAGCAGGGAGCAAATCCCCCTCCACGAGGGAGCCCGGCTGCCAAGGTCTGCCCGAGGGAGGCAGAGCGCAGACCGGCCCACGGGGACCGGGTACTCACAGCCAGATCCAGCATGTCCATCGTCACCGCCTCCTCCGCCAGCACCTGCACGGTGGAGTCCGCGTGGACCGTGACAGAGCCGCTGCTCACTGCAAAGGCACAACGGCGGGGGCCGAGTCAGGCAGCGCAGGCAGGGCTGCCAGATGGGCCTCGTCTGGGGGTCCACACACAGGACAGCACTGGCAAGCTCATCCCCAGAACCTCCACGATCCCTTTGCCGAAATAAAACCTCGACGCGTTCCTGTAACGTTTCCCAAGTCCCGCAGGGACTCATTTCCTACCAAAAGGGAAGCTGGAGCAGGGCATGCTCCCAGAAAGTCTGAGCAGAACCAAGAAAATCTGACCCCAGACTATGGCCTCCTACTGAGCCCCATCTTCCAGGGCAGATCCCCGGCCCCGCAGGGCAGCCTCCAACAGCCCCGGGGAGGCTGGGAAAGCAGAAATCCCTGGAAGTGCACCAGGGCACACCTCGATCAGCAGAGTCTCCCTTGCGAAAGCCCTGAGAACATTCCCCCCCACGCACGTTTTCCTTCCTCCCCAGCTCTGCCTGCTTTACTTACCAAAGTACTTGGTGGCCGTGCCATCCTCAGCGTAGACCGTCACAACTCCTGGTTTGAGGACCTGCAAGGTGGGGACGTGAGAGGCCAGGATACCGAAGGAGCCAGTCAGCGTGGGCACGTCCACCTGCTTCACGTTGGCGCCATTGTAAAACACCTGGTTGGGGAGGACAGAGCAGACGGGAACAGTCCATCACCAGGAACGGAGGGAAAGGAGGGAGGTGGCTCCCCCGACGCTGGAGAGCTGAGGATGCGGTGGGCAGCCTGCTCTCACCCCGAGGGAGCAGCCCTGCGCCCAGCAGCTGGCAGGCCGTGGGGTTTAACACAGAGCAAGGTGTGACTAGGACAGCCTGAAGCTTCACAGGGTGGGAGCGGGGCCGGGCTCTGGAGGAGGGGTCCTGGCAAACGGAGTGGGAAAACGCTCCGAGCCTCCGGAGAGGCATGGTGGTGGTGGTGGCAGGGAGGCGGCACGTGGAGACATGAAGTCGGGAGTGGGCGAGAAGTGAAGGGT